TTCAGAATTATAGAGTAATGGTAGCTAAGCAGCATAATAGCCCCATCCAAACCTGAGCAAAGCAACTCCTGATGCTTCCATAATCATGTTAGGGGTAATCCCCATCTCCTTGATGGAGGGTTTTTGCTCTGAAGTGGCATGGAGACAACTACAACTACTGAACCTCCAATAGCAGAGGAATCCCCAGGGCCTGGGACTGACAAGTTTGCACTGACAGAACTAATGTAAAGGGGCCTCTGTGCAGTAATGAATTAATCTCCATACAAATCAGTTTGGCTACGTCTAGACTGGCATGATCTTCCGCAAATGCTTTTAATGGAAAAGTTTTCCATTAAAAGCATTTGCGGAAGATCATGCCAGTCTAGACGTAGCCAAACTGATTTGTATGGAGATTAATTCATTACTGCACAGAGGCCCCTTTACATTAGTTCTGTCAGTGCAAACTTGTCAGTCCCAGGCCCTGGGGATTCCTCTGCTATTGGAGGTTCAGTAGTTGTAGTTGTCTCCATGCCACTTCAGAGCAGCAAACAGGAACAGCGTAGTATTTCCGCAAGAAGCACTGATTTCTTACATGAGATCATCAGTGTTCTCGCGGAAATTCAAGCAGCCAGTGTAGACAGCTAGCAAGTTTTTCCGCAAAAGTAGCTGCTGTTGCGGAAAAACTTGCCAGTCTAGACAAAGCTTTTATGTTTTTGTTTTGTATGCATTGACTTTATTTTATTTTAGTTGGGGTTCCTAACCTGTAAATAAAACTGAATTATACAGTATTAGCTTTTTCTTTCCATGCCTGTGATTAAGAAAAACAAATTGCTAACTGCAGGAATTAACTACTAAATGCATCAATTTCTAAAGCAAAAGTGGTCCATTTAGTGACAGACAAAACAACTTGGAAATGACACAACGTGAATTTTTGGCTTAAACTTAATTTGCACCCTTTTGATTAAAAAAAAGAGTCCAGTTTAATGAAGAAGCTAACAGTTCATGTGCATCAGGATGTCAGATGGAATTGGAAGTAGAAATACGCAGGGGAACAGACATCACAAGAACAGCTTTCTTACAAGGTTCCCCGCCTCAGTTATGGGTTAAAGGCATAATTGTCAGTTTACAATCTATCCCATGGGGGGCAGGAGTCATTGCCCCTGGAGAAGCTCAGGTGGTAAAAATGAAGAGGTAAGTTACCAGCTCCTGTTTGCTAAGGAGTGGAGTGATTGTGATTGTGACTCCTTGCCTCAAAGGGCTGCTGCTGGGGATCTGATTTAGATACCGCCCTTTACTCTTGGCTTTGTTTGAAGTCATGATCTAGCCCTTAACATAGTATGTGTTTTCAACGTACACAATAAATGTCATGTCCCTAGTCCCATCTCTTTCCTTGTAGTGCCTGAACATCATACACCCCCATCTGGAATTATCTTGCTTTGATCAGTTCAGCTGTGAATGACTTTGTACTTTGGCTTCACTGGTGCCTCTGATTACCAACAGCTTGAATTTCTATAGGAGCCTGACCTTAAGTTAGATCAGCACCTAATTGAAAGACATCCAGCAAGTTCAGGAGCTATTGTAAAAATACTTCACAAAAGGGAATTAAAAAAACCTTATTTTCTTGTAAGTTAAATTGAATCTGGTATGTATCCACTGAAATTAGCTGAGTTAGTCTTGGGTAAGACTGGAATGAGTAAAACCAGAATAAAGCCCAGATCTCTAGTGATTAGTTTGCAATAGCTTTACACTTGTGTGAAAGTTAAATTTGGTGCAAGCAATAGTCTAATTTATAGTGAATTCACTTTAATTCTCAGCTATGCCTTAAGTTGTTGGAATGATAAAGCTAAATAAAATAAAATAATCTCTTGTTATGGTAAAGTATTCATAGTTTATACTTTTAGCTGATGAGAGAATGTTGCACTATCAGCATCTGAAATGTACAACCTGCTGATAGGAATTTCATTAAACAAACTCTTAACATCATAAATTGGTTTCTATAATGTAGCAATGGTTTTCCATTCCCTTTACCATTAGGTAACAGAAACCCGGACTGGTCCTCTTGGCTGCAGTAACTATGACAACCTAGATTCTGTCAGTTCTGTTCTGGTTCAGAGTCCTGAAAATAAGATTCAGTTACAAGGTATGTAAGGTACAATTTTGTTAATATTTTATGGAACAGGAAATATTTATTTTATCTTAACCTCTCTTTCTCTCATACTAATTTTCTGCCCAATGAGTGCATTCTGGGAAAAGTGGAGGAAATCTCAGTAACTCATGTTGCATGGGAATTAGAAGCAATCAGAATTTTACTGATCAGAAAATCATGTAAAGCCATTAACATTTACAGCCTTATTTAGTAATCAATCATGTATGCACTCTCTACCTAGCCAAAACTCCCAGAGTTTATACTGAACAGGAAATGACATTTAGACCCATTATAACATCCTGGCTCACTCTGAGCAGTCAATTGAAACTAATGAGACTAGTTGAAGAGTAAAGGCCAGAGCTGTAAAGGCTTTTAGATGCCTAGATATATAGGCACTTGGAGCCAGATTTAGTATTAAGGTGACTAACAGTATTTTTCGAAAGAAAATAAGCTTGTTAGGCAATTTAATTGCAGTAGAAATCAACAAGAGTTAGGTAACTAACCTGCTTAGGCTCTTCTGAAAATCAGACTAGGTATCTGCATCTTTAGGTGCTTAAATATTTTTTAATATCTAGACCATAGTGTCTAAAGTAAAAGTATCTACATAGGTTATGTGCCCAACACCCACTACAAATCTAGGAAACTGAAGCATCTATCCTGCATAAGCACTTCTGAAAAACCCCATTAAGTGCTCACGTGCATTTTTAGGGGATTAAATGGTTTGAAAAAAATCTACTCATGTAATATCTTCCAACAGCAAAGGTGGCAAAATCTATCCATTAATCATTGCTTTTATCAATTATCAAAGAAGTACTGTATACAAAGGCTCAGTATCATTTCAGGTAACAGATGTAATTGTAGTTGTTTTACTCATTTGATCAGGCCCAATCACATGAATGGATTTTCTTGGCATGTAAAGGGAACAAGAGTTGGCTCATTGTGCAAATGAAGGCTTAGGCCTGCAAATACTTGCTGCCAATGTGTGAGTAGACCCCTTAATTGCAACTGGGATGCTCAATTGCTATTTGTATTAAATATGTTCAGTATCCAGACATACATTGGCAGAATATAACATAAAAAGTCCACATCTTTTTTTTTTTTTAAAAAAACTATGTCTGTCTGTCTCTCTAGCTTTTTATGAGGACACCAAGGAGAGCATAAATTAAACATTACATGATTTTTAAAGTATAAAACAGTTTTGAATTTATTTTCGTTGGGGCTCACTTCCTCCACTATGTCTTCAGAAATAGTTTGCCATTTTTGAATGGTCTTCAATCACTGATGTTTGTCAATAAAGTAGTTAGAAAACTAGTTATTACTGCACAGAGAGATTTGATATTTGACATTGGTTTACTATTAAAAAAAATCACATTACTGATGCTTAAACCATTTTATATTTAAGGTAGCAATGTTGACAGTGGTGATTTAGATTTGGTGGGGCCCTGAGCTCAGCTTCATTTTCCCCTCCCCCGTCCCCAGCCAAGAAAAAGAACATTCACTCTTCCTGTCCTTCCCCATTTTTCATTCTTTTTTTCTTTATTCCCCTCCTATATCATAAGTAATAAGAAGTAAATGCAAATAAAGTGAGGTACCTGGATTGTTTTTGTAGTCTAACTTTTTTTTTCACAGAAAAATTGCTGAAAATTACTGAGGGTCTCAGTGGACAACTTAATGATCTTTCCAAATATTGTTTGTACCATTAGCTAACTATTGCAAAGTACTTTGGATAAGAGTGCTTTATAAAACTAAGATAACAACCTTTCCTCAGTCCACCTGAATGGAGTTCTCGGAGCACAGTTTGAGAACTTCTGGTCTAGATGAAAGCTTGTATTTGCATTAAACCTTAACCCTCTTTTTCCTCCCCGGGTTACTCCGGAGCAATGTCACACTCACAGATGTGCCTGGGCACCCGATGGTTTTAACATAAAAGGAGATCCTGAGCACCCCAGTGGTGATGTTGTTTAGCTGGGGAAAACCCTATCCACCTCCTTGCTGCAGTCCCTTGCTCATAAAGAACATACAATGCTGGTGCCCCCCCTGGCTGGCCTTGTACACACTTAGGGTATGTCTACACTACCCCGCTAGTTCGAACTAGCGGGGTAATGTATGCATACCGCACTTGCTAATGAAGCCCGGGATTTGAATTTCCCGGGCTTCATTAGCATAAGCGGGGAGCCGCCATTTTTAAATCCCCGCTGCTTCGAACCCCGTGTAGCGCGGCTACACGGGGCTCGAACTAGGTAGTTCGGACTAGGGTGCCTATTCCGAACTACCGTACTCCTCGTGAAACGAGGTGTACCGGTAGTTCGGAATAGGCACCCTAGTCCGAACTACCTAGTTCGAGCCCCGTGTAGCCGCGCTACACGGGGTTCGAAGCAGCGGGGATTTAAAAATGGCGGCTCCCCGCTTATGCTAATGAAGCCCGGGAAATTCAAATCCCGGGCTTCATTAGCAAGTGCGGTATGCATACATTACCCCGCTGCCTTGAGAGCCTCCAGGAATAAACTCATTCCAGCTATACTCTGGATCTAATTCCAGAACAACAACTACAAATCATATACAGCTCATAGATTACATTAAAATAAACAATCTTTACTTAACTTAAACAGGGTTTAACAGATTAACAATGAATAGCATTAACACAGTGCACAACAATAATTAGAACTTATAGATCTGGCATTTGCACTGCCAATATTGATCCCGTCCCAGAGTGTGCACACCCCTGGACTCAGAGTCCCAGACTCTTGCTTGCGTGGGCGCGCTTGAAGAACTGCAGCTGTAATGGAGATTCTCGGTAGGCAGTGTGTATGAGGGTCCAAGCTAGGCAGCAGCTCTCTCCCAGACAACACTTTCCCCAAAATGCCCAATTACTTACAGTCTCACGCTGTGCTGTGCCTATCAGAAGCAGCCTGCTAGATCCCAGGTCCAAAGGCATCTAGTCCCAGTCTGTAGTTGCACTCTAACAGCCTCTGGACTGGATCAAACTCCTGCACAGCAGCCTGGCTCCCCTTCTGTTCCAAAATCCAAGGGCAGAGACCCAGACTGCTAGGCCTCGTTTCTCATGCACGTGGAGAGACTTGATCTCCCACACCAGTCACTTCCTTCCTGTTTTTCCCAAGGGCTCTTGGGAATTGTAGTCTGTGAGGCTGGATTGCAGCACACAGGGTCTTCCAAGAAAATAAGCAGAAGGACCTTTAGTAAGGGGACTACACTAATATCCAAGCTAGACCTCTCCCACTGTACCTTGAGACATTGCTCCTTGTTCTGCCATCTGTCACTACTGTGAACAGCCTCTCTCCATCCTCTTTGGAACCTCCCTTCAGGAAGTTGAGGGCTGCTATCAAATCCCCCCTCGCTCTTCTCTTCTGTAGCTATAGTCGGTTTACCTTAAGCCGAGCTTGGCACCATCTTCACAGAGGGATACCAATGGGACTAAACACTCCCACTGGCTTCTCTTAGGCCTCAATACTATGTGGAAAATCAGTGCGGACCAGAGCCACCCTCAGCTTTGGACTGGGGGGGGCTGGACAGTGCTGGACTGTCATTGGGAGGGCCCCGTGCCAGGGCACGGTGTTTCATTGTAAATATGCCCCTGAGTATTGAACAAAGACTCAGATTTTCTTTTCTCTTTGCAAGTTCAAGGCTTTTCAGAAATATAACCATGTTTTTACAATCATGCCTAAGAAACAAGTGAGTTTCACATGATTTGACACGAGTTAGAGGACAACTACAAAGATAGCTGTAATGGCACCAGTGTCCTTAAACCATTGTGGTATGGCTTTCAACTTTCAAATGTTACGATATTGTTATTATTAATGTATTGAAATAAGGAAGTTTTTTCCAGAAAACTTGAACAAGTAAAGGCATATTCAATAAATAGACAAGATTATGATACTCTTATTTCACTGAAAAACAATTTGCTCCAAAAGTATTTCCACTGATTTCAGTCAGACTGCACCTGCTGTTAGGTACTTTTCAGAGTAAGAATATCACAATCGGGTCCTAAATCTTTTCCAAAAGATTAATGTTAATAAAGTAGTCAGCTGTATTTTGTTGTTATTTAAGATTGTATCTAGCATGACTGACAGCTATAACTAAATTAGAATTCAGTAATTACCATATAATCATGCTACCCATTAGCATCATGCAAATAATACTCAATTATGTGATAGTAACAGATATTAATTTCCAGTTGCAAGAATTCTGGCTAATTACATATATTAAAAAACAAATAAGATGTATTTAACTGTGAAAGTGTGCATTGCACTTTAACTTTTCCAGAACAAGGGTGCAATTTTCAAAAGTTTCTGTAAGTTAGAAGCACAGGGAGATATTTTTTTCAAGGGTAGGGGAACTTAGCCCCAATTCCTATTGACTTTTAGTTAGACTTTCAATGAGAAGTGTGGGCCTAACCCCTATTGGTGCCTGTGAAAATCTGCACTGCAAGTCTTATTGGTCTTCATCAAGACTTGCACTCTTAACTCACTTCGGCATTTTGAAAATCCCTTCCAAGACATAGAAACCCATTTGGTGATCATCAGTTTGGTCCTGATCTAATATTTTTGTAGTCAACATGATCCCTGAAATAATGAATCTAGCCCTAAGGGCCAAATCCTGCAAGGTGCTGATTGTGCCCTGTTTAGATACTTCCAGTGAGAACTAGTTTCTCAGCACTTAGAAAAATGGATTGGAAATCTGCAATTTTATTTTGTGCTACATCGTAGAAATACAGTTAACAAATCATCGTGTATTTTTGTAGCATACTAGTAAGACAATAAAAACCTATATTAAAATGATTAAAGTATGAAGCATAAGCAGAGGAATTAAAAAGGAGTAGGGTTAGCTCATCGTTTCTGTTCTTCCTTATTTGTTTCCACAGCTTCATGGACTGATAACTGGAATAGATTAGACATCACTAAAAAGGCAATAAAATAGATCTACTAAAGATAGTGTGTGACTGCATACTTTTTTTTCCAGATTGTTTCCTTTTTTCCTCCTGTGCTTCATAATTAGTTTCCCCGTGTCTATTTTTCCAAAGTTTACATTAACTACTGATATAAAGATTGCAATTTCACTGCTTTTTTTTTTTTTTTAAAGAAAAGCCCTTATTACTCTGGCTATTTTTCTATTTATTCATCAATTCTTAACACTGCAAATTTAAATCTTTCTTCTCTCCCAACCCCCCCCACCATCAAGGAAAGAAATCCAAAAAAGCCTCTATTTGGAGAGCATATGTTGTTACCATTGATATTCTGAACTCAGATGAAGTTCAAGAATTCATCTGAGGTTAAGCCTTGAGAGAGGAAAAATACTATATAGTGTGAATGCCACACTGGGTAAATTGCCCTAATTATGCCAAATAGCTTCCTCTGTATTTAAAATGTTTTTATCAGAGGGAAAGAAATCCAAAAAAGCCTCTATTTGGAGAGCATATGTTGTTACCATTGATATTCTGAACTCAGATGAAGTTCAAGAATTCATCTGAGGTTAAGCCTTGAGAGAGGAAAAATACTATATAGTGTGAATGCCACACTGGGTAAATTGCCCTAATTATGCCAAATAGCTTCCTCTGTATTTAAAATGTTTTTATCAGAGGGATAGTCATGTTAGTCTACCTGTTTAACCTGTAGGAAAACACTTCAATCTCCCTGGACACACAGTGGCAGATTTAATAGTAGCCATCCTGCAACAAAAAACTTTAAAAACAGTCTTCAAAGAGAAACTGCAGAGCTACAATTCATCTGCAAATCTGACACTGTCACTTTAGGATTAAACAAAGACTGTGAATGGCTAGCCAACTACAAAAGCAGTTTCTACTCCATTGGCGTTCATACCTCCACATCAGCTGCTAGAAGGGGGTCTCATCCTCCCTGACTGAATTGACATAGTTATCTCTAACCTTACTCTTGATTGGAACTCTTTTCTTATGCCTGTATATTTATACCTGCCTCTGGAATTTCCACTACATGCATCTGACGAAGTGGGTCTTTGCCAGCGAAAGCTTATGCTCCAATAAATCTGTGAGTCTATAAGGTACCACAGGACTGCTCATTGTAAAATGTTTTTGTCACTATGACTGCTGAATCTGTTTGGGTCAACCCTATTTCACATTTCAATGAGATTATTCCCATTTTCTTTTCTAAAGGTCTTCAACTTATCCTGCCTGAATACCTGCAGGAGCATTTTGTGCAGGCTGCTTTGAGTTATATTGCCTGCAATTCAGAGGGGGAGTTTATTTGCAAAGATAATGATTGCTGGTGTCAATGTGGCCCCAAATTCCCAGAGTGCAACTGTCCGTACATGGACATTCAAGCCATGGAGGAAACCCTGCTTCGCATAAGTGAAACCTGGAATGCTTACAACAGCGAATTTGAAGAGTCAGGTGCGGTCTTTTAAAATATTTCTATTTGTGTTACTGAACATCACAGAATTTCCTTAAAAATGAGGGATGGGTAAACAATGCCTAGGACTATGTATGTGCTTAAAGGTAAGCAAATGCTTCCATGTTTGGCTAGATCTGGGCCTTAATTATTATAACTCCTTGATTCTTATGGGACATGTGTTACCCCAACCTTCAACAGGTGGTGAGGGCAGTGGAATTGGTCATGGATATGGGCAGGATGCTCAGAGAATACTCACCTCCAGCTCTTAGGGCCCTTTTGATGGTAGTGTGAATGGATATCTGGGAAAGGGCAGAGATAGATCAGAGGAGGGTTACGTTACAGAGATATTCTAAGTCTTTCCTTCTGCAGCAGAAATATTGTAGAACTGCAGCCATCACTACCACCTACCTCTGGCTTTGCAGCATTGGGTAGAGGATTCTTTCCACAATTTCTACGCCCACAATGCTTTAGAGATTTACAGTACAGCTGGCATATATGGGCTGAGCACTGGGGATTGGATATGCCTCCAGATTAACATGGGCTTGATGAATCATCCATTTAACAATTGGTACTCCTCACTTCTCTACAATCCCAAGAGGACTGTTTAAACTGGCCTAGTTCTACTTCATTCCCCCCACAACACTTTGTCACACTGGTTTTTGTCAAAACATCATGGTTTGTTTCACACACCATTTCCTTTCTCATCCCGAGGACTTTCAGTTCCATAGAGAATGGAAATTGCAGGTAAAAACTGGCTTCTGAACAACTATTTTCACAAGTCATTCACTCAGTATTATGAGGAACAGCTGTCTAACTAGCTGGCAGGTTAAGGAAGGAGAACTTGTGAGAAAAAAATCAGGTGGAAAAAAAAATGTGAGGGGGATGTGAGGGAGGAGTAGAGAAAAGTAGAAACTGTAGATCAAAATCCAATATATGGTAGACATAAAAGATGCAGTTTGGAGGTGGCAGGACTGAAAGGGGGGGAAAAAGCAAATGCAAGAAGAGAAAACGAGAGGAGAAAAAGACTGAACACTAAAATGCTTGAGTATAAATTGGAGGATTTAAGAATACTATGTTTTTATATTCACTGTTTTATTGACACCTACCCTAATTTCTCTTTGACCAACAAAAATTAATTGAGGCTGGGAAATTCAAACAAACCTAAAAGCTGGCAATCATCCCACTGACTTTCACTGGAATTTGGATGCCTAATTGTCTTAGGATCCTTTGAAAATCCCAGCTCAGAACCCTGAAAGGAAAACGTGGACCATGATGTTCTGGCCAAGAATAAGCCATTATTTAAATACTCATATATTTGTTTGTTTATAGAAACAATTTTGATACTTTTGTACATTTCTGAAATGAAACCTTCAACATTGTACATCAGTAATTTTGCCTATCCTTATAGTGAAATGACAATTGCTACAGCACTCCTTTTCTTAGCTCCATCCTCAGAACTTGCGGGAGTGCTGAGATTAGTGTCAAGAGAGACCCACACAAGTGCTCTAACAGTCGCTAATAATAGAAGGCTGGTCCATCCAGTACATATTCC